TGTGTGCGTGTGTATCGCACCGTTTGTAGGCTTTGCCTTCTGGTAGCTGCTGACTAAAATGTTCCCTGTTTTGCAAGTTAGGTTTTATATTTAAAAATCCATTGAGTGTGGATGCCCAAACATCGTAATTTATCCTGCATTGATGTGGTCCCCACTGACCCAAGGGTGTTCTCATTTATTTTCGTGATGCCTTGAGGGGATGTGGCCCTGAGGAGGTGGAGACAGAGGAAATGAGGCCCAGGGAGATTAAGAGTCTTGAGCACTGGGTGCTGTGGAAGCACAAATGGATTCTGAGTCTCAGTTGAAGTGACTCCTTCCTGTTCATTTCTATTGGGTTAATAGACACTGTTTCTGGCTCCAACTCAGATGCTGAAGCAGGGCCCCTTGTGTAAAACCTGCTACCAATCCCAAGATCTAGAGAATCTATGTGACAAAGGCAAACACTGATTGCCACAGCCCAGCATTGCCCAGGCAGATCTACTGTGTAAACAAACACCCAGAAGGCAGCCTTTGGGCTGGCGTCTGGCTCAGACTACCCAAGCCAAGAGGAAGATTAGATGGGAACTGGAGCCCAGAATGACTGTGTGGTTAGTGTCCCAGAGCCTGATATGAAGGTAGGCCTGAAGGACTTGAGAGGTATGAATGAAAGTCTTCCCAGGGCAGGGGCAATGTGACCAGATTAGGGCCTGATCATGGTGGTCCCTTTCTGGTAGTGACATGGGCTCTTGTAAAGCCCTATTTGTTCTGTGGGAACTTGGCAGTCTGCAAAGAATTCTTACCATTGACAGGAAATGCCCTTTCCACTCCATCTCTTCCTAGAGATTTTGAAAGCTCTTCTTGCCTCTGTGGGGAAGTTGACGCCTCCTGCCAGCCCTGAGACCCTGGCAGTTCATGGCTCTGTGAGAAAAGGGTTGGAGTCTAATTTTCCTCTCTCTCTACTCATCTTTTTAGGAAAAGTCCAAGTTCCTCTGTACCCTGAGATTCCCTGTTCACAGAAGCCCTAGGGCCAGATCATCTCTTGGTGAAGGGAACAGTAGAGGACTGTGTGCACCACACATTCAGGGCAGATGGCCTTGTTTTGACCGTTTATGTACCTGTTCCCCTGCCTGCCCACCCTCTTCCATGGTGGAATTCCTGAAGTCCTTGGCTGTTCCCACTGTCTATCTTTGCTCCAAGGGTCCTGGCTGGCACCCGTAATGCTGGGGGACGGGAGGTCTGTCCTCGGAGCTATTTTTTTGGATGTCACCAAGACGTGTTTTGAAATGTTTGCAGGGACCATCATGTGTTATGGGCAGACTGGAGCTGGCAAGACATACACCATGACGGGGGCAACTGAGAATTACAAGCACCGGGGGATCCTCCCTCGTGCCCTGCAGCAGGTAGAGAGTGGGCCCATGGGTGGGATGCCACACAGGTCTCCTCTCTCTGCCATAGATTCAGCTGACCCTAGGCCAGCTACTATAAACAGTAGGGCCAAGCACTCAAAGGAGTTGCAGCTGGTGCTGGTACTACTAGTACCTGAGATGGGATACACATGGCTCAAGGGTGGGTAGGATCAGAGGCCTCAGGAAACCAGGAGTTCAGGTTTCAGACTCTGACCCACACCCGCACTGAGCCGGCTTCCTCATTTGTGAAAGTGGGAGTCAGGCATACTAATCAGCCTCTTGCTCCTCCAATGGTCTATGATCCTATAATTAAGGATTTGGAGGCCAGGCTCAGTGTAATCCTAGCACTCTGGGAGACTGAGGCAGGAGGATCACTTGAGCCCAGGAGTTCGAGACCAGCCTGAGCAAGAGTGAGACCCCTGTCTCTACTAAAAATAGAAAAAATTAGCCAGGCATGGTGGCTTATGCCTGTAGTCCCAGCTACTTAGGAGGCAGGAGGATCACTGGAGCCCAGGAGTTTGAGGTTGCTGTGAGCTAGGCTGATGCCACGGCTCTTGCCTAGGCAACAGAGTGAGACTCCATCTCAAAAAACAAAAAAACAAGGGATTTGGAGGTCCTGGTCATGTTCCTTCCTGTTTTATGTTTTTTTTTTTTTTTTTGGTGGTAGTGGTTTTTGAGGCAGGTTCTCACTCTGTTGCCTGTACTAGAATGCAGTAGTCTTGTTATAGCTCACCGTAGCCTCAAACTCCTAGGCTCAAAGGATCCTTTTGCCTTAGCCTCCCAAGTAACTAGGACTATAGGTGTGTGTCACCATGCCCGGCTAATTTTCAATTTTTTTTTTTAGGAGTGGGGTCTCACTGTGTTGCCCTGCCTGGTCTTAAACTGGGCTCAAGTGATCCTCTGGCCTCGCCTCCCAAAGTCCTGGGATTACAGGTGTGAGCCACTGCACCTGACCCTTTTCTGGTTTTAATGAGAATATTGACCCTTGCAGAGCTTCCTTACTGGCCTCTTCTGGCTGTTTCTGCCACCATAGCACCTGAAAGAGCTAAGACAAGAAGCAAGGCATGACCTTTCAGGACTGTGTGGGGGCTTGAGAAGTATGACTGAAGACAGGATAGAAGGGCATTCCTTTGGGCCCTGCTAGCCTGGGTTCTGTGAGGTCTCTCTGGTTTGGAAGTTGTAGGCAAAAGGTCTTTCCTCAAAAGCATCTTGTGCTTTTATCGTGCTGTCCTATAAGAAGTATAGACATCTGTCTAGTATATAAACTATCCATGCTCCAGTTTTTGAAGTAATATACTTAATATCCCACTGTCAAAGCTTAAGTATCTCAGCATCTTAGACTTTTAGTAGTCTAGTCCATTGCTACCCAGTAGAAATATAATGTTAAGTCACAT